TTATTTAGTTAGTATATATTCAATCCCTAGACTCTAGAAGCCATGCAGTGGGAAAATTAGAGTAAGAACCTGTTATTAAGCTATATACAGTCTAATGCATCGCTTAATAAGGAAACTGGGCAAGTAAATTTTAACTTCAGCTCAGTGGAACAGAGCTAATTAACAGCAAGTACAGGGTTTGAAGCTCTTTCAAAGGGATAGTCAGTCTTCTAAGAGTCACCAAAGGTCTTTCAAAGGGAGTGAAATCTAACGGAAATTGAGAAACAAATGAGAACTAATCAGGTTTGGAACGGAGTTGGAGGTATTGATAGGGGTGGAGGTATGGTAACAAGGAAGAATTTTCTCAACTGAAGACAGAGTAAGTACAGAGACATGAAAAGGAAGGTGTAGGATTCATAGATTCCACAAACCCTTGGCCTTTTATTTTTCTCATTCTCTTATCTAAATTCCAATGATGTTAATGGATAATTTAACCTGGAAATTCCATAGTAAGCCTTGCATTAAGCATGTGATTCATAGCAGAGAGACGTCGGATTTTTAAAATAAGATCTAAAGGTGAGTGATGTTTACATTTTTTTCCTTAGCTGTCATCCGTTTCTGATTTTCAGGGCTGCCTAAGAGCTAAAAGCAAATATTTTAAATGGAAGATATTTTTCAATTGACTTGTAAGGACACCATCAAGCACTACAAAGCCTTCTTTGACAGGTCTTAGTAAACTGAGCTAGGTCTCCAGATCCAGGGTCCTTGCTGCCCTCCCATTTCTTTCCAGTCATTTTCTTCTCTCCTCCCACTTCTCCAGCAAGTTTGTTCTTTGGAAGTCAACCTTAACTATTTTATTATTCATCAGGAGTAAGAGGCTTTTTCTTCCCAAACTATTGTATATTTTGCTCCAATCTTCTCCTTCAACTTCCCCCTTCACTTCCTCTCCCTCGCTCTCCCCAACCCTCTGATTGCTGGCAAATCTAGGAATTTGATTATGAGCCAAGAATGAAAAATAACAGCAGAGGCTTTCTACATTTCTGTATGAATGAGCATAACTGTGTGTGGCTGAATGCATGTGCAGGTATGTATCTATATTTGTGTTACTCCATTGCATCACAGACTCTAGAAAGCCAAGCCCACAAATTAATCTCCGCCTCCTTCCCTGGCATGAGGAATAAAAGCTCCTCAGAAACATTCCAGATGCACAACTCATCTTTTTTTTGCAGCTTAAAACCTGAGTGGGGATTTGAGGAAAACTACACTGAATCACCCAGTTTCCTTCACAGGATCATCTGGACAGGTTGTATTTTATTATTATTACCAGTATTAATATGTAGATTTACATATAGAAAATATAGACGCAAACTGTATAGCACAAAGCTGTTAAAAAAGGGAATATAGAAAGAATAAAGTCTTTATTGATACGTTAGTCACTTAATAATGTAAAGCATTTAAAGCCTTTTTAAATCACTCGTGTGTCATTAAAAATAACATCTTGCATTTATGTAGTGTTTTTTTGTTTAAAGAGCTTTAACGTAAAACAGCAGTATCATAGTTACCTTGTATATAAGTCCTGCTCACTAAATACATTCTCCATTTTACTGATAAAGAAATAAAGCAAGCAAGGCAGAAACAGAGTGAAGACTGACTTCTAGACTGGTGTTCCCTTGTGTGACATATGTCAGAAGCAGTGTATTACTATCATGGGCCTTGCAAACATTACTATTATTACTGAGTGAGAGATACAGACAGATATAGCAGAAATATAAGTCCTTGGTAAATTACTGAGAAACAGATCATTGGCAGGATAGAACCTATTTTATCTAGGAATCTTTAGGAAAACCTAGATAGCCCAGAGAGACTTGTCCTAACAATTAAATTGAATGAGTAGTTTGAGCATCTACTTTGTGACACGGTGCTGAGGCTCAGGATAGAATGATGGACAAAAGGATATTCTTTGCTTTCAGCCACTTTACCTAAATCTAGGTAAGTCCAAGATGGTGAGGACTAGGTGAGCCCTGTGCATACACTCACTGCGGTATCCCCGCCCTTAACACTGTGCCTGAAGATGAAGTAGGTGGGCACTCACACAGAGAGTATTTGTTGAATGAAAGGCAAATTGGGGGAAGGAGAAAGGGAGGACCAAAAAAAAAAAAAAAAAAAAAAAAAAAAACCACCAAAAAAACAAAAACAAAAAGCAAAGGGAAGAAAAAAAAGAGGCAGAAAAAAAGAAATGTAGAGAAAAAGAAGAAAAAACTCTTTCTGAATTCAATTGAATTTATGAATCAAAATTTTAACAACTTTTTGTTGGTGTTACTAGACAATAGTAATCTATATATTCAGCTAGGAAATAAAATAGACTATTTTTAACTGAAATACATCTTTTTAAAAAGAACAGAGCATCTAGAGAGTGTGTCCATACACTGTGATATAAAATACTTTACCACAAAGAAAGGTATTTTATTATATACCACCTAGTTTAATTTTGAGTCCAAAATTGATCATGAAAGGGCAGCCAAAAGTCAGACAACTCTTTAATGATAAATCAGCTACTCCCAAGTGACTATAAGCCAATTTTTTCAAAATTGGCAGAACACCAAGAAAATTGTTCACATGAATAAACAAATTAGTAGGCAGGACAAGTGATACCTTTTATACACATTTCTTCTAGTAAAATATCTATTTTCTGAGAGCAAGGGAAGGCTTGAGGAATAATCTGATTTATTAACAAGACTGATTCTAATAAAAAATATTGTAATTTTGGTGAGATCACCTCTGATATACCTGAGATTTTGAAAGAACTGAGTTTGTCCTTATGGACTGGGATTTTTTTTTTTTCATATTTAATAAGACCAACCATGATTAATGTTGTTTTTGGTTTTCAAAACACATGTTAAGCCATTCTTTGGTTAAAAACGAACAAAAGAAAAATTCTTATATTGTGTCTCTCTTGTGTTGTGCAATCTGGACCCCAAATGAAATGAATATCTTATTGGGTTGTCCCAAATAACTTTAGACAAGTAAACAGGGACAAAATTTAGATTGGACATTTATAGATTTTAACCTCTCCAGTAGAAAACAGATCATCAACTATGAGTTTCTTCAGACAATTCTATATTTACATTCTTGGGAATTTTTCTGACAACAAATATTTTCCCTGCTTTGAACAGAGATGTTACTATGTAATGTGTATTGTTACTAGAGAGTCTAAGTGCCTGGTTCTTCTGCATTATCATATAGATGTGGCATAATAACAATAACAGCTCATACTTATTAAGCATTTATAATTTGCCAGGAGTATCACCTCATTTAATTCCCAGTAACTATTTCAGGCAAGTATAATTATTATCATTCTCAATTTGTAGATGAAAAAATGAAGCAAGTCAATTTGCCAGGGTCATACACTTTCAATTAGCAGAGCTAGGATCTAAACCAAGGTGATCTACTTTAGAACCCATATTCTTGATAACTGTTTCCTCTGCCATGAATATATTAATCATCTAAATTAATATAAATGTATAAACTTTTAACATATATGTGTTTTTCATTATATAAGCATATTTAACTATTTAGGTAACCATACCAATTACAAGGCAAAAATTTAACACACTTGATTATATAAGTAATAATATCCTATAAAAAAATATTAAAAATGAAAAACCAACAGATTTCATACATATATAAAATTAGTAACTATAAATCAGAAAAAAGCAACAATCCTTACGGGCAAAATGGGTCAAATGATTAAAATAACCAATAAACTTACAAAATGTAAAAATATGAAAAATTACAAAATATTTATGAAATACAGATTTAACATATATATTCTTATGAAAAATTATAACAGGTGGGGATGTGAGAAAACAGGCAATTTCATATTGTGCAAATTTGTACAATATTTCAGTGATTTGTCAAAAATTATTTATCAATACTTTGCATGTGCATAACCTTTATTTTGACAATTCCATTATCACTGCAAAGATCAGTCTGAACATACATATGCTCAAAGATATTCATTAAAGTACTACTTGTTTCAAAAGAATTGGAAAACCCAGAAATTTCCATCAATAAAGAATTGTATCATCTATGTCACGTGCACACTGTGGACTACTATATTTCATTTATGAGAATAAAAACTGAATTTATGTAGCAACGCCAAAATATATTCATATTATATAGTTTAGTGGAAAAATAGATTATAAGTAAATGTAAAATGTAATACAAAAATATATATATAAGTGTAGATTTTAATATGTATTTAAATATTTAGAAGCATAAACATAATACTATTAAGAGTGATTATCTCTTAAGAGTAGAATAAAGAAGGCATTTTCATTTTCTCTATATTGTTTAATGTTTTACACAATTGTGTCAAAAATACTATATTTATATGTACTTGTTTACATGTATGTACAAATGGGTGTGTATTTATCCTTCTTTATGTAAGACAAATATGGTTCCATCTTCAAGAAGTCTTATGCAGGACAAACCCAACCTAATTGATAAGGATGCACACTTTGTATAGAACCTTATTACTTACAAATAAGATTTTTAAATAAAGCCTTTAAAGTCTGGCATAACATAAGTAAATAACATTCATTTTCCTTTCTCTAGTGGTTATAGGAAGAGGATATATGAACTTTTTACAGGAAGGCCAATGGGAAGGCTATTTTTATATATTCAATAACAGTTGGAGAGGTTCCTAACTAGGGAAGTGACCTTAACAACAGAAAATAGAGGAAAACAACAGAGATAGAATAAATGGGATTTAGTGCCAGGGACTGGTGAGGAAGAGTTAGGAGGCAACATCTGAAAGTTTACATCTGTAATGTTCAGCCTTGAAATGTAGCGGGAAAAATACCACCAGAAGAGCCTCCAGTATAAATCAATGGTCTAATTATTTGGTTTTATTTGCGGGACAATTATCTTTCTAAAATTCTACCATCAGATATTTCTTTCTTAGGGTTAATCCATTTGTTACAGTATCTACTATTTTCATTCCTCTTTACAGTGCCATGCTTATGGATTGGAATTCTTTATTAAAGGAAACATTAGGTGACTAAAAGAACTACTGCCTTCAAGAACCTCTTGTTATAATACAAACTCTCTGGAAAAAAGCACAATAAAAGCTACAGTGCTTACAAGTCTATGAGTGTATAACAACCTACCTGGCAGCTTTTTGGGCAAGAGAGGTCTAGAAAGGCTATTGTCAAAAAAAAGGACAAAACTAGCTGAGGTGTTGTATTAAAAACTCAAAATGGGGTAATTTGGGGCAAAGTGAACAACATACTTTTTTTTCCTTTTAGTGCACCACTCCACGATGAATCCTTCCAAATGCGATGACTCTGAATTCTTTGGCAGAGTCCATGGGATTCTAATGTATAAAGATTTTATCAAATATTGGGATGATGTGGAGGCATTTGAGGCAAGACCAGATGACACTGTCATTGTCACTTATCCCAAATCTGGTAAGTCTCTGTTATATCTTTGTTCCCTTTTCTCCTAGTAATGGCAGACTCACCTTGAATGGTAAATATTAAGCTATTCACTTTCTCCGCACTCATTCTTCATATTAAATAAGAATAGATATAGTAGTTTTGATACAGACATAGGAAAAGGGGCATATGCTAGCTCCATTCTAAGACCATAATCTATACTGACAACTTGAGCAGCATTATTGAGAAATGGGTGGTGTTGGCTCCTGGTCAAGATGATGATGTAGATAAAAGTAGTACTTGGAACCTCCCACAATCACATCGAAATGACAACTAAACTACAAAACAACCCTCATTTAGAACCATCTAAAATATAGTTGAACAGGTTGTATAATTAAGGATATAAAGAAAAAGCCACATTGAGAGTGATAGGAGGGGTGGAGACACAAAACGGGCTGGTCCCACACACATCGTGTGGCAGTTAAAAATGGGGGGATAGCCCTGGCTGGTTTGGCTCAGCAGTTAGAGCGTCGGCCTGCGGTCCAGAAAGACCCGGTTGGGCACGTACCTCGGTTGCGGTTTGTCCCCGGCCCTGGTTGGTTTTGCGGGTAGCAGCCACTCGATGTGTCCCTTTCACATCGATGTCTCTCTCTCTCTCTCTCTCTCTCTCTCTCCCCCTCCCACTCTATCTGAAAAAAAAAATGTCCTTGGGTGAGGATAAAATAAATAAATAAAAATAGGGGTTATCTTGGTTGCAGAGGCCCCTCCTGGAAAGTAAAGGGTCCCAGCCTCACTCCAGGCCCCCAAGCCCAGAGACCCAATGCCAGGAAGAGAAGTCCCCATAACTTTTGACTGTAAAACCAGCAGAGACTGTGGCTGAGTAAGACAGAGGGCTTCTAGGTTCCCAGGGGTTCCTCTTAAAGGGCCAGTGCAGAGATTTTTCTCAGACTCATTTGCTCTGAGCTCCAGCACTGTTGCAGCAGCTCAAAAGGTGCCTTGAACACACAGTGAGGAACTGGGTTGTCTGGCATCAGGGTGACAGCTTGAGGGAGAGTTTTCTCCAAGGTAAAAGTGATGGCAGAGACCATTGTTGCTTTGATGAGCTGTTCCCCAACAGACAGACAGACAGGCACCATATCTGAGTCTCTTTCAACATGGCTAACACTATTCACCCCATCCTCCATCCTGGTGATTCCCTGAGACTCCTCCCCATCCTGTTTGTGGGCCCACTGAAGATATTTCCACTGGCTCTTCCATACAAAGGGCTATCTTGGTTCATGCTGCTGACTTTCTTAAGATCTCTCAAATAAGCAGCATCTGGTGCACCTCTTGCCAAATGGCCCCAGGCCAGAAACTAGCGGCAGCCAGCCTCAGTTTGCAAGTTGGCCCTTCCTGGGCACCCCCAAGCCCAGTACAAGTAGCAGCCATCTGCAGATAGCTCTGTAGTTCATGCCAGGTGGCCACAGGCAGGGCGTAGGTAGTGGCTGACGTTGACCTGCACGTCCCAGGAGGCCCCAGAGTCAGAACACCTGGTGGACACGTTGATAGCTTCAGACCAACCTAAAGCAAAACCTAACCACTTCCATGATTGGCACACTAACGGGTGAATTTGATGGGTACCTGAGCCCTGTTGAAATGAATTCTTCTCCATGAGTTCTGTCCTTGCACAGCAGATCCTACATGGTGGTTGTGACCAGTCCTTGCAACCAAATGAAAGTAAAGGCATGGAAAAAGATATTTCATGAAAATGTAAACAAAGCTATAGTAGAAATACTTGTACTAGACAAAGTAGACTTTAAAAACAGAGGCTTTATCACCGGGCCAGTGTGATTCAGTGAACTGAATGTTTTCTCATGGACTGAGAGGTCCCTGTTCAATTCCCGGTCAGGGCACATGCCTGGGTTGTGATCTTGAACCCCCCCCCCCAGGGGGCGTGCAGGAGGCAGCCAATTGATTTTTCTCACATAGATGTTTCTCTCTCCCACTTCCTTTCTCTCTAAAAAAATGAATAAAAATATTTTTTTAAATATAATAAGTAAATAAAAAGAGGCTATAACAAAGGACAAAGAAAGACCCATCAATTCTACTTCTGAGTATTTATCTGAAAAAATCCAAAACACTGAATAGAAAAGACATATACATCTATATATTAATTGCAGTATTATTTATAATAGCCAAGATATGGAAGCTATCTAAGTGTCCATAGAGAAAAATAAAGAAGAGGTGGTGCATATCTACAATGGAATATGACTCAGCCATAAAAAGAATAAAATTTTGCCATCTGCAACTACATGGATGAATCTGGATGGTATTGTGCTGAGTAAAATAAGTCAGACAGAGATAGACAAATACCAGATGATTTCACTTGTATGTGGAATATAAAAAATAAAATAAATGAGCAAGCGAAACAGAAACAGGATCAGATACAGAGAACATTTTGATGGTTGCCAGATGGGTAGGGGCTTGGTAAACAAGTGAAAAAAGTGAAGGGATTAAGGAGAACAAATTGGGCCCTGGCTGGTGTGACTCAGTTGGTTGGAGCATTGTTCCACACCAAAGGTGGATGGTTTGGTGGTCAATCAGGGCACATACCCAGGTTGTGGGTTTGATACTCTGTTGGGGCACATGTAGGAAGCAGTTGATCAATGTTTCCCTCTTACATGGATGTTTCTATCTCTCTCTCGCTCCCTTCTTCTCTCTAAAATCAATAATTAAAAAAAAAAAAAAGGAAGTATAAATTGGAAGTTACCGAATAGCCATGGGGATGTAAAGTAAAGCATAGGGAACATAGTCAATAATATTTTAATAACTATATATAGTATCATATGGGTAGTAGTTTTAAAAAGGTGATCACTGATAGACATTTGGGCTGTTTCCAGATCTTAGCTATTGTAAATAGTGCTGCTACAAACATGGGGGAACATATATTCTTTCTGATTGGTGTTTCAGGCTTCTTAGGGTGTGTTCCTAGAAGTGGGATCATTGGGTCAAATGGAAGTTCAATTTTTAATTTTTTGAGGTAACACTATATTGTTTTCCATAGTGGCTGCACCAGTCTGCATCCCACCAGCAGTGTACTAGAGTACCCTTTTCTCCATACCCTTGCCAACACTTGTTGTTTGATGATTTGTTGATGGCGGCCATTCTGACAGGTGTGAGGTGATACCTCATTGTTGTTTTAATTTGCATCTCTCTGATGATTAGTGATGTTGAGCATTTCTTCATATGTTTCTTAGCCATTTGTATGTCCTGTTTGGAGAGGTGTCTGTTTAGTCCCTCTGCCCATTTTTTAATTGGATTCTTTGTCTTTCTTTTGTTGAGTTGTATGAGCACTCTATATATATTGGAAATTAACCCCTTATTGGATATATCATTGGCAATCAGTAGACGAATGGATAAAAAAGCTGTGGTACATATACACAATGAAGTACTATACAGCTGTAAGAAAGAAAGATCTCTTATCCTTTGAGACTTCAAGATAAGATTCAAAGAGAGTTAGGAAGAATCATAAATATTCAACATAATATGTCAAACACTATGAGATTTGGCCATAATCATGATTGGAAAGGTAGAGGATGAGGAGGAAAGAACAGGTAAAGCTGAATTCTCAGTGGTTACAGGTAAGAGATAGGTTACATTAGTGAATAAAAGCTGCAGTTAGTATCAGCAAAGTTTGCTAAATAAACTTCAGGAAATAGTTATTGGAGCCCCAAGCCTAAGCTTATGTGGCTTCATAAAGAAGATAAAGTTGAAAAAAAAATTGTAGAAAAGGAGTGTGATTTGGGGAGTATATTCCTTAAAATAGAGATTCCAAAATACATAGAATATAACAGTAAATTAAAATAGTAAAAATGTAAAAAATATGCAAAAGAGCCCTGGCCAGTTTTCCCAGTGGTTAGAGCCTCAGCCCACGGACCAGAGAGTCCTGAGTTTGGTTCCCTCTGAGGGCATGTACCTCAGTTGCGGTTTGTCCCCGGCCCCGGTTGGGGTTGTGTGGGTGGCAGCCACTCGATGTGTCTTTCTCACATTGATGTTTCTCTCTCTCTCTTCCCTCCTCTCTCCCTCCCGTTCTATCTGAAGATAAATACAAAAATACCCTCAGGTGAGGATAAAAAAAAGGTATGCAAAAGAAAAATACCCATAGAGACTAACACAAACCTGCTTTCTCATAATAGTCATCAATTCTCTTTCTCCAGAAACAAGTCTAGCTGTCCCTTGAACTCATCTGTGATTTCCTCCAATTGTCTTTTCCAGTAATTTGTTCCATATGTTTATTATTCTTTCATGACATTCTCTACCCAGCATAGAAGCAGGAACAGGCTACTCTGCAGGCTGACTTCTGGCAGTCTCCCACGCGGCAGAGACCTTGTCAGTGCTTCTCCTCGGTTTCCCCTTTACGCACCCTGGGCTGATTGAGCTACTGCTGGAATGTTCTTCCTCATCTCCTAAGAAAGCTCACAACCAAGAGTTCAGTGGACTTTATTCTATATATAAATTACCTATCTTCAAGGCTACCGTCTTTATAAAAGAGCTTTAAGAGTAACATGAAATGCACTGCATTTATGTTCTTGTGATACTGTGTTCCCTTTGGGAATTAAATTCCTTACATGGAGCACTTACCATTATTCTGAGCCAGAGCACGGTTATCCTGTTTGCCCTATACAACTCAATCAGATACATTCAACTATTCCAATTCCACTCATTTCAAATAACCTCAAAGACATATGAAACTTTTAACTTTAAGTGCATGTACATATGTGTTTATCTGTAAAATATGATGTATAAAACTATAAAGGTGTAATAATTTATACAGTTTCATAAACATGTATTTAATTATTTTGTGATTTTTTTTCAATCATATAATTTAGTAGTGTATTGTCTAATTTTGAGATATCTTTTTTATTGATTTTTAATTCAACTCCATTATGGTAAAAAATATATTCTGTATGATTACAATCCTCTTAAATTTATTGAACCTTGTTTAGTGGTTTAGAATACAGTCTAGCCATTGAATGTATATTTGACAATGTTCTGCTTTGGGTGGAATGTCCTAGAAATACCAATAATATTAAGTTGGTTGATAGTGGAAGAAAAGAAAGAAAAATGGGTATTGTTGCCACTTTAGAACATTATAGATAAGTATAGAACCATACTAAAGTTTTTGAAAAATATATTTTTATTAACTTTTAGAGAGAGGGGAAGGAAGAGGGAGAGAGAGATAGAGACATCTATAAGAGAGAAACATTGACTGGCCACCTCCTGCACATCCTGCACTGTGGATCGAGCCCATAACCAGGGCCCCGTGCCCTGACCAGAAATTGAACTGAGATGTCTTGGTGCCTGGGTCAACACTCACCAACAGAGCCACGCCAGCCAAGCATAGAACTATAACTAAAGTTTAAGACTACAAATTGTGTTTACCTTATGTCATTATTATCACTGTTGTATAGACAAAGTATTACCAATTTTCACGGATTAAAAACCAAAACCAAAGTCTTTTCCAGCTAATTGGCTCCTCTATAAATCCATTTCTAAAACTTCATTTTCAATCAACATCTTTTTTATCTGAGGTTAGCTCAACAGTTTATTATGTTTCCAGACTCTTATAATCATGCACCTTCAGAAATTAAAATGGCCAATCCAGGCTTCTCTATCTTGTTTTTCCATTTAGCACCTAAATACATCAAACACTAAATATGTCTTTGGCTCCTCTGACTCTAAAGCTTTTCCTCCACTCTCTTCCCTGTCAGGATCAATGTCATCACAACACCAGTCGTCTGAGGAGGAAACCTGAGAGCAGTTGCAGAGTCACTTCCTCTTGCTCCTTCATCTTCCATATTCAATCAATAGAAATGTTTTGCCTATTTTGTCTTATAGATAATGTCTCACAGTCAGTCTCTTCCAGGTCTCTTGTCTCTCTTATTGGCCCCTCACTCCATTGTTCTCTTTACTCTGCCACTAGAGGACTAAAACACAACCCAGATAATCTTGCTGTCTTAACGTATGTCAATGCCTTTTCAAACTTTTGGACAACGACTTGAAGTCTTTAGTATGAACTAAAGGCATTTTATCTTGCTGCTTGCTTACCTCTGTAGTCTCATTCCCACCCATCTCTTCAGGTAGACTCTTTGACTTAGGCTTTACAATCTATGTCAAATTTTGGATTTCAAACGTTTCCCATCTAGAGCAATTCAATTCTCCACCAAGTCATTCACCAGAAAAAATGTTTTTGTTTTCTAACAAAACTTTAGTTCTAGACCTGATAACCCTCTCATGCTGATACATCAGCATAACACAAAGCATCTCTCAGGTCACAAAGAGAATTCGAGTCAGTTTACCAAACTCTTCTATTGTTAACATGTCAAGAAATTGTACTGTGAATATTTTCATGTTTGTGGAGTTTTTGTTGTTGGTTTTGCTTTTGTTTCTGGCAAACTGGATGATTAGCACAATTTTAAAACTTAAGAGGCCTGAAGAGTGCTGATGTTGCTAAGGGTGTGAAGTGCTCACCAAACAGTGATCACAGGCCATGGAAGAGGTAGAAAGACTGTCCATGATTTGGATAAATGAAAAGCAGTGAGCATGTGACAGCATTTCCAATGCAGTGATGCATGAAAAAGTTATGATGCGACACCCCCAAAGGGGTGCTGGAGGTGATTTCTTTAAGGCCAGGAGGAGGCGGTTCAAGAAATTTAAGAAAAAGTGTTGATTTATAGATTAGACAGTACATTAGACATGTACTGTATGTAAGAAAGGTTAAAACAGGAAATTATTTGGGGGTCTGAAATAGGTTAATTCAATTTACATTATTTCTAATGGGAAATAAATGATTTGGTTTTTGAACAAACTGCTTCTCCAACAGCCTTCTGGAAGGAGTTAAGTTTGAGAACCCAGCTTCCACTGTGTTTCCAATTGCTTTCCTCACTATTATACGATTCTTCAGTATCTGAACCTTTGATTAACACTTTTATGTGTTAGGCTCTTTCTCAGGAACTCAATTTAACTATTACTTATTGATATATCATTGCCTTTGATAAGCTTCTACTGGCATGATTTATTATTAAAATTTTTAATGCAAAAAAGAAAAAGAAAAAACAGTTCTCGTGTCTGGTAAAACCCTACCTACCTCAGAAAAACTGGTGAAGTTATGTCAATAATTTGTTAAGGATAAGCTCAATTATTATGTTCTCTTGAAGTCATTTCTCTTTGAAATGTTGCAGCAGCAATGTTACACTGAATTAAATGTTTCTCTTGTGCAGTCCCATAAATCCTTGTACTCACCAGTATTATGACATCTTAAGAGAAAAGAAGGGTTGTAATTATTGAATGTTGTTTCTAAGTCTTCAAAGGGTCTTTGATCACCATAGGGCAAGGACCAGATTTATTCTTTTCTATATCCTCTGGAATTTTTTTTTTTTTTTTTTAATCCTCACCCGAGGACACTTTCTGATATTCTGTTCAGATAGAGTGGAAGGGAGAAAGAGAGAGAGAGACATCGATGTGAAAGGGACACATCGAGTCTATATCCTCTGGATTGAAACAATTTGAGGCATAAAAAACTAAAGTTTGTGTTTGAAAGCATGCTTGAGTGTATCATCTATTATTCAAGTATCCTTATTTATTCTTATTTATCGAGGCTATTTTGGGGTCCTGTGGCTATTCTGATACCTTTCAAATGATATTGCATTGGTACCATCCTACTTCATCCAGCTGTAAATTTATCTCTTCCATCACCAGCCCAGCATGGGCAGTGGGAGACTCAGGTTTGTTTAATGTTTACAGGTACAACCTGGGTGAGTGAAATTGTTGACATGATCTTTAAAGAGGGTGATGTGAAAAAGTGCAAAGAAGATGTCATTTTTAATCGAATACCTTTCCTGGAATGCAGAAAAGAAGAGGTGATGAATGGTAATGTTTAAGTTGATTTTCAAAGCTATAATATACATATATTTTAAAGTGTGGATGTAGATTATATAAAGAAAGAGACTGTAAGCAAGAGTGGCAATTAATATTATGTCTTATACATAGCAAAGCATGTAAATTTTAATTAAAATCTTGACAGTTTACAGTACTGCATGTGTCTATAAAAGAGTGAATAAGGATAGCTCTATTATTATTCTTATTATTCTTATTATTTTAATCCTCATTCGAGGATATTTTTTTTTCTGTTTATCTTCAAACAGAGTGAGAGGGAGGGAGAGAGAGTGAGAGAGAAACAATGACGTGAGAGGGACACATTGACTGGTTGCTTCCCAAATGACCCCTACCAGGGCCTGGGAAAAACTGCAACCAAGGTATGTGCCCTTCACTGGAATTGAACCCGCAACTCTTTGGTCCACAGGCCAACGCTCTAACCACTGAGCAAAACCGGCCAGGGCAAGGATAGTTTTTATATGCCTTCAGTGCAGCCTAGTAATATATAAGCATTTATCTTTTTATGGGTTAAATGTGATAATACTTTAAACACTAAAAAAATATCCATACAGGATCTATGCAAAGGATATATCCTTTTTTAAGGATCTATGCAAAAGAATATTCATTACAGATTGTTTTAATATTGTAAAAAACTTAGAAACACCATGTTTGTCAACAAAATAATATTTAAAAGTGACATAATAACACTGTAAAATAATTTAAAATTTTAGAATGTCATATGTTTCTTGACATCGCAGTATCAGTATAATATATTGAAGAAAAAGGATAATTAGGAAATATTAAAATTTTTATGTGAGTCCGTGGTATTTAAATGGCTGTGAGTTTGGGTATATAGACATATTTATATAGAGAGCTGCTTATCCATATGTTAATAATGATTTTTCCAAAGTGGTGACATTTTATTTGATATTTTTTTCTTTATAATTTCCTCTATCTAAAATTCTTTCATAGTTAGTATATATATATATATAATTATTAATAAAAAATAGAATCTTAAAGTTACTTTTATTTTTAAAATATCTATAAAATTTATATAAATATTTATACTTTTTGAAGTTGTCTAACTTTCACTCTTTTATAAATCAGGAATAAAACAATTAAAAGAGATGGCATCTCCTAGAATTGTGAAGACTCACTTGTCAGTGAAGCTTCTTCCAGCCTCATTTTGGGAAAAGAACTGTAAGGTAACCAGAGTCAAGTCTTCTGAATACTTTATTCAACTCAAAGAAATTTTAGAATGTTCAAGTCATAATTGTGTTGTATACACACTTGTTTCTTTATTCTTTCATTGAATCTATAAACATTTCATAAATGTAGATTATAGTCAGTATAGTCAGAGAGTTTAGATTTCAATTCTAACTCTAGAGGAGATTTTGAAAACAAATGAACAAACAAACAAGGAAACAAAAAATCCAGGTAAAACTCTCTAAGACTCAGCTTTCTCATCTATAAAAGAATAATAATAATAGCATCTTTCTCATATAAGGATTAAATGAAATAATGTAAATTAAATGAAATAATAAACTGCTTAACATAGTGCCTACCACATTATAAACAATCAATGATAGCTACTTTTGTATTGTTTTATTATTGATTGTATTGAATGTACTCCTTTTGCAAACTTTTGTACTTGGTACTGTGAAGCACACAAATGAACTAGACAAGAATAAACCAGACAAATATAATAATTAGTTACTGAGTGCCTATTATGTGTCAGATAACAAGTTATATGCGGTCCTTGTCTTAATGGACATAGTTCACTGTGGTAAAGGGACAAATAAACAGACAATGCTTTGTCATGGGTCAAGTAAAAAAAGAGGTCTAGCCTAGACCTTGAGGGCAAGGAAGACATCCTGTTGCAAATAACATCTAAACTGATACTTGCTGAATCTTAGTGGTTAGTCTATATAATCCCAGAGACAACCCCAGGGGGGATTTAACACCTGTTTGGCTGGATGAGTGAAGGACGACTTGATAACAGCAGACATTGAAGTCAAGTTAAAAAATTTGGATTCTATTTGATAATGAGGAGTTATAGATATATTAAGCTGATTATTAACATGATCAGTTTTGCTTTTAGAAAGAATAATGTAAGTAACCCCAAAGTACAGGCAGAACATTAAGTCTTGGACCACTGATGCTATTCCTCAATACCTTTCTAGCTTTTTAAAAGACACATTAGACCCATACTCCACATATGATATATTAAAGTACTATATCTGTTATTAGTAGCAAAAAAGGGATTTATCACAGTCATGAAACACTTCCCCTTTGTACTTCAATGTTACATGGTGTATTTGATCTTCTCTGGAGATCCATGATCCAAAATTCTGTAGATCCCAATGTTTTTGTTTGTTTGCTTGCTTTTATTATAAGCAGTCCTAGATAGACCACATGCATTTCACTAAATCATTCCATACATAAATGCTCTCTCAGTATATTCTCTAGGAGATGTGTCATTATCATTTCTTCAGTATTTGACCAAGTCACTTTGTTTTCCTTTGAAGAATGGATTGTAGCCTTGACATTACTGGATTTACTTTTCAAAAGGAAATAGATACTATACTTTTATGATGGTTTTAATCCTCATAAACCTGCTTGTCATCTCAGAGATCATCAAAGAGTAGAAAATAGTTGTACAGATTCATGTTCTGAGTATTTCCAGAATGATTCACTGGGGAATCAGAAGACAAATGGACTGAGACTATTAGTAAAAGTGTGTATAGAGGTGTAGACCAAAAACTGTAAGGGATAAAAATTTCAAAAAAGAAACAGGCTAATAAATAATAGGTAATTAAGGCCAATAGGTTTGAGGTCCCAGAGTGGTTGCAGGGAGGTATATTTGAAATAAATGATAAGAAAGAAGGGAACAGCAGGACTTTCTTGAAGAAGAAAAACAAACAAACAAAAAAAACATGATGCTGCAGGAGAAGGCTTCAGAAGTGAAACTTTTGAGGTACTGACAATATTCACAATCTTATTATAAAATTGGTTGGCTAAGGTAAAATGGAGGTAATGATCAATGAACATAAGAACCTAGAATATCAGATGGATTATGCATAAGGATATTGACATTACATGGGATGATAACAGGATTTGAAATGGAGAGTAATACTAAGAGGCAGGTGTTAAATATTTTTTAATTAAATCAAGGGAATGACCACAGGCTTAGAAATGGCATCAGCTGGTGGCAGGTGCCATTTTCCTTTGTTGAGCCCTTTCCTAACCCAGCTTGCAGGGTGCCAAAGCTGAGTCCCATTAACCTGGCTAACACTGATCTCACCCCACCCTGGTGATTTCCAGAGACCCTGCTTCTCCCAATTCACTTGCCCAACCTGAACCTCTTTCAGAGGCTAATCCACACAGGCAGCTGGTGGGGGCCCATGCTGTGAACTTTCCTAAAATCTATCAAAGGTCCACAAACCCCAAACAAGCAGCAGCTGGTTTCAGGGGCCTTGCGCCTCTTTGCTAAGCAGCCGAAGCCTAGCACTGGTGGCAGCCAGGCTCAGCTCATAGCTTAACCACTCCCAGGTGTCTCCAAACCCAGCACAGGCAGCTACCAAATGCAGATTACTTTGTAGCTCCTACCGGGTGGCCCTGGGTCAGACACAGGCAACAGCTGATCTTGCACTACACTTAAGCCCCTCCAAGAAACCCCTGAACCAATATTCCTGGTAACTAGCTTTAGTCCACACCAATGCACCACCCATTAACCCCACAAATGACACATGCAAGATTGGGCAGTTGCCTGAGCCCTGATAAAGCAAATCCTACTCTGTGAGGTCAGCCCCCACACAACAGCTTGTCCTATGTGCTCACACCTGTCCCCACAGCCAGTCAGCCTGATGAACTGCCAAATGGGAGGGGGTTTGAAGGCCTGGGTGAAAAAAAGAGAAGGAATTAAGAAGTATAAATTGGCAGTTACAAAAGAATCATGGCAATTTAAGCATGCATAGGGAATATAGTCAGTCTTTTAATAACTATGTATGGTGTCAGGTGGGTGCAAAACTTTTTGCGGGGATCACATTGTAAGTTATATAAATGTCTAACCACTATGCTGTACACCTGGAATGAATATAATATAGAATGTCAACTGTAATTTGAAAGTAAAAAATATTTAAAAACAAAATAAAGCCCACCCAAACCTGCATAGTCAATAGTATTAACATGAAATAAATGGCATCAGTTGGGACAGGTATGGATCGAGTACCATAGAAACAGGGGTCTTTCAAGTGTAGGATTTTAAGATTAATTATGATCCCAAGTAAATTGTGGTAAACTAACTTTGACTTGAGAGAGCTACAGTGAAAGTCATAGATCTTCAGGAATGAACTAGACTTTCCTTAAAGGTAGGAAGAGCGTGTGCAGTAAATGGTTTGGGGTATAAAATAGAATCTGCCAAAATGAAGTTTAGGGAGAGAGAGATTACTTTTGTGCCTCCCCCCTCTAATCTGGGAAATAAAAATCTTCATGGAAGACTTGGAGCCAAGCTTTAAATATAGACAGTGTTTTGAGATACAAATAATCTTCAGGACAGAGGTAATAGTATGAAGAAAGTAAAGGGGTAAAAATTCTGAAGCAAATTCATGATATAGTGGCAAAGAGATCCATTTGACTAATAGGCAAAAAGATCCAGGGAGAGTTGTAAATAAAATGAGGCTAATACTAGCTTGGATAAGAAAAAAAAGTTTACTTTGTTTTCTGTAATAATTAGAGGTTTTATAGTGAGATCTTAAAATTGAGATCTATACTTCTTAGAATAAAATAGAGATGTCTTTAAAATTGTTTTAAAATGTGATGACTTGAGTAAGACAAATTAGTGAGCCTAATCATCCTATAAACAGTGGATAAATCGAGAGCATCCTTTCTTCCTGGGTGGCATTGCTCAGGTGCTTTATGGTAGAAGTGGAAACTCACAGGAATGTGAAGTTACTTTTTTTTTTTTCCCAGAACTTTTTCTGTAGCATTGAGTATCAGACCTAAGAGAGACCATAGAGACCTGACCCAACTCACTTGTTTAGTGGATAAAAATTTAGGCTCAAAATAATTGGTGCTGTGGCCAATATGATAGAACTTCTTAGTGCCCGAACTAGCAATTAAAACAAGGTTCCTGATTGTTAATTTGCTTGTGTTTCCTCTCTATATAAAACAGAAACTCAACAAGGTGTTGGTGTAAGTTAATATGAATATAGACACTCATAAACATGATCATGTTTTTTAAGATTGTGAGTGAGGAAAAAACAGGACTTTCTTTTAATTTTATTTTTTATTTATTTTTATTGATATTACAGAGAGAAAAGAAGGGAGAGGGAGGGGGAGATAGAAGCATCAGTGAGAGAGAACATCAAATGGCCGCCTCCTGCATATTCCCCAATGGGGATGGGACCCACAACCTGGGCATGTGCCCTGACCAGGAATTGAACCGGTGACCTCTTGGTGCATGGGTCAATGCTCAACCACTGAGCCACACTGGCTGGGCAGGACTTTCTTTCTTAGTATGCGGATTGGTGGTATAGTATAAAGAACAGAGGACTTGACTGTTGACTGACTGATTTACCAAATTATTTACTCTCATTGATTTATTCTCAGTGTCGTATTGTAACTCAGCTTCAGTTTAGTTTCTTCACTTATAAACTGAGGATAGTCATCTTTCTGGCTCAGATTATAATAATTGTGACACTTAAACGAGCACAGCATAGACATGAAACGTGAAAACTAACATTGAACAACACTGCAAAAGATGCTGTCACTTCAGGCTATTGGAAGTCTTTTTTGTAATTTTATGTACTTTCTGAAAGAACCATGTATTATGTTTATAGTTGAAAACAGAAATGCTTTCTTTTTAAATCTTGATGAAACTATATCTGAAAATTGTAGCTGATTTAATATTTAATGTTGCCCTCTTAGATGATCTATCTTTGCCGGAATGCCAAGGATGTGGCTGTTTCTTATTATTATTTCTTTCTAATGGTAGCTGGTCATCCAAATCCTGGATCTTTTCCAGAGTTTGTGGAGAAATTCATGGATGGACAAGGTAATAACAGCTTCCTTTCTTTGAATTTTTTCAAGGTAAATTACATAAAACAAATGGCATCTCTGAGCAAAAATTATTGTTGTCTTTTCTGGTCTATTATCTTCCCTGACCCTTAATTAAAACACAAAGTTCTAGATGCCCTTGAACTTTAGAGCAAGTCTAGTGTTTCCAGATGTGGATGACAAATTGTAGAATATGGGCAGTTCAATTCAATGCCTAAAAATACATACATAGCTGGTTGGAGGTAACAGTATTTCTCTCTAAGGTTGAGACTCCATGTTCAATTCTCTCTCTTGTCTTTTTTTAATTAGAAAAGTATTTCACAGTGTGTTATTATAACTATTGAATAATATGGGGAAGGGAAGAGAGAAGAGAGAATGCCCACATGTTTCCAAGAAAAAATTCAGGTGTTACATGGGGCCAGAATTTATAAATAAGTCCAAATATTTACAAAGTTTTTATTCATTCTACCCAGTGTACAGTCTGAATAATTCAACTAGATTTCTAAGAACAGTACAAGAGTTACTTGAGCAGTAATTCTGGAAAATTTTGCCTTTTTATTTAATTTCAGACTAAAGCAACTAAGTATTTAGATTTAAAGAAGAAAGTGTTCAGAAGATTCTAGTATTAACTAAAGAAGGCCATTCTGATCCTGTAGTAGTAAATTGTAAGAAAATGATAACAATGCCATTTATATATCCATAAAAGCTAATACTGACTCAATAAAGGTAGAATATGTGTGCTTTATATTTGTTGCTATATTTGAGAAAAAGTATGCTAATATATAATGAATGAAATATTTGCCTCAAGATCATCAAACCCCATATTGTAAAACAGAGAAAGATAAAGTTGTACCTCCACAAAACAGCTGAATAAGATTGTTACAAATATCATCATATAACTTTTTATGTAACAAAAAATTGCCAATAAAGTCAAAGAACAAAGAATATGTAATGATTTAATGCAAAGCAGAATACTTTGACTCACACATTATTATATCATCCTGTCAGCTTTTATTGGGGGAAACACTTAGATATATGTGAGAAAAGATAAGGAAAGAGAAAGAAAGAGACAGCATTTGGTCATATCACATCATCTCCAAAATCTTCTAGTTCTTTTAGAGAGAGTATGACACTAAAGGTGCCTAAGAGAATAGCTCTTATCACCTACACTGCAATAATGTAATAAACAATTACATAGTTACTGCCTTCAGTTGGCCAGAGCCAGTTTGTAAATGGCAAATTTGAGACCTAGGCTGAATTCTTATTATAAGAACATTGATAGTTTCACTAACTCAGTTCCCTTTACTAACAATCTGATTTCAGGCACACACCACTTTCAAAAATGATCTAATAAACTCTGAATCAAATTGATGGGAGGGGGATTTTCTTCACCTTTTCTCTGTGCCATGAACCATGTCATGATGATGAAAGTTGAGAATGTTTCTGTGTATGAATTAGTCAACATATGTTGCCTCCTTGTTGCAGAGAAATTACTAGTTTTCATTCCATGATCATTTGTATTTACTTGTTGCTACTATTGTTTAAACATTTATTTTCAAGCCATAGAAAAATAATACTATGCTCTTATGCTGTTTTCACCTGTAATTTTAGTTCCTTATGGTTCCTGGTATGAACATACAAAATCTTGGTGGGAAATGAGAAAGAATCCACGTGTGCTGTTTCTTTTCTATGAAGACATGAAGGAGGTGAGAAACTGACAACATGGGCCATTTAGTAATTTCTAAAATGTTAGCTTTTGGCATCTAGATACAAAAATCTGCCTTTAAATAAATGATGTAGTCACTTCCAAAAGTTACAGTTATCCAGATACATTAGCACAGATTTAAAGTTAGTAAATAAAAATCTCCTGTGAATGAGTATTTTTAAACCCAAGTCTCACAAAATTACCTGTGATTACCAAGGAATCACAGCAGGCAAGAAGAGTCAACAGTCTCCAAATCTGTAGCTGTTGGAATTATCAGATAAGAGCTTTAAAATAATTATGCTTAATATGTTTAAAGAAATAAAATAAGTTAAAATTTTACAAAGAAGCAAGAGGGTACTAAAATTAATAAATCAGATTAGAAAAAATAGCAAAATAGAATTTCTCACCAATAAATTAAAATTAGAAATAAAGAGATGTTCAAATAACAGATAAGACATGGCTAAATCATAGATTAGTAATGTGGAAGATGGAGCTGAGTTAATTCTATAGAATTTACTACATTGAGATAAATGGAAAACTTTATTTAGAAAAAAAGAGTAATGAATATGTAGAATAGCATAAGGCCCCACATATATCAACCCAAACCTTCAGAAGGAGAGTGTTGAGAGAATGCTCAGACAGTAATATGCATAAGTCTGATGGCCTCAAAATTTCCTTTTAATCAAGTTTTTACCCCTAGCTTTATTAATAATCAGGATAATGCCAAATAAAAATCACTATGAGATTTTATTCCATATCCACTAGAATGACAGCAATTTAAAAGTCTGAGTGCCCGGGCAGGTTTGGCCCAGCAGTTAGAGTGTCAGCCTGAGAACCAAAGGGTCACAGGTTCAATTCCCGGTCAAGGGCAGGTACCTAGGTTGCAGGTTTGATCCCAGTCAGGTCATATGAGAGGCAATCAATAAATGTGTCTGTCTCACATCGATGTTTCTCCCTCCCCACCCCGCTTCTGCTCTATCTAAAAATTAATGGAAAAATATCCTCAGGTGAAGATTAAAAGAAAAAAGTCTGACAACAATAAATGTTAGGATATGGGTTCATGAGATGTAACATACTGCTGATAGTAGTGCAAAAAAGATACAAACATTATGGAAACAACTTGTCACTACCTACAAAGGTAAAAACATGAATGTAACTGAAGACCCAAAAATTCCACTAGTAGACGTACATTCTGAGGAAACCTGGCTTGTGTACATTAGGTTATATGTACAATAATCCTCATAGCAGCATTCTCCATAACTATGAACATTGGAAACAATCTAAATATACATATAACTAAATAATCAATACATGTCACCTAACTCAAATTGAAAGAGTCTGGGAAATCATCTCAAAGAAGGTGATATGCTGAAGTTTAATAGGCCAGAGAATTTGAGAACATTCTATGTAGGGGGAACTACATGCCAGCATAAGCATTATGGTGGGTATTGAAAATAGCTGCACTGAGTGATGTAGCTGGACAATAAGGTACACGATAGAAATGACACTGATGAAGATGGGGATATTTGTAGCTATGGTTCATATATACCACCTAATGTTCCAAGTTGAGTATTTGACTTTTTAGACATTTTCTTAATCTTATGATTTTTTTGCTTTTCACTAGCTGCACCAATAAATTAGAAGAAAAATGAAAGCTGTCTGCGTATTTTCACCCCAAAACATGATCAATCACAGGGGACTATACTATTTGAGAGTGTATGTTAATATTCATAGATATTTATTGAGCATGTACTATGCACCGAGAACTACAAGAAGTATTTTGTAAACATCTCATTTAGTGTTCTAATAATCTTTGAAGTACCTGTTTTTTAAAATGTTACTAAAGTGTAGTTGGCATACAATATGATATTAGTTTCAAGCGTACAACATAGTGATTTGACATATTCCTTATGATATGATCATCATGATAAGTCTAGTAACCATCTGTTACTGTGTCAAGTTATAATGTTATTATTGGCAATATTCCCTATGCTGTATACTACACCCCCCTCCCCGACTTATTTATTTTATTTATTTATTTTATTTTTTTATTATTATTTTTTTTTATCCTCACCCGAGGACATTTTTCCATTTTTTGTTCAGGTAAAGTGGGAGGGAGAGAGAGGAACAGAGAGAGAGAGAAACATCGATGTGAAAGGAACACATCGAGTGGCTGCCACCCACACAACCGACCAGGGCCGGGGAGAAACCGCAACCGAGGTACGTGCCCTTAGCGGGAACCGAACCCGGGTCTCTCAGGACCGCAGGCCGATGCTCTAACTGCTGAACCAAACCAGCCAGGGCCCGACTTATTTATTTTATAACTGGAAGTCTGTACCTCTTATTCCTCTTCACCCTTTTCACCTGTCCTCTACTCTCCTCACCTGTGGCAACCAACCATTCATTTGTTCTCTGTATCTATGAGCCTGCTTTTGTTTTGTTTTGTTTGCTCATTTGTTTCTTTTAGATTCCACATGTGAGTGAAATCATGCAGTATTTGTCTTTCTCTGACTTATTTTACTTAGCATAATACCCTCTAGGTTCTTTCATGTTGTTGCAAATGATGAGATTTCATTCTTTTTTATTACTAAGACTTTATATATATATATATCATTTTTATTCATTTGTTTGTGATTGAACTTTCAGGTTGCTTCCATATCTTGGCTATTGTAAATAATGCTGCAAGAAACATAGGGGTGCACACATCTTTTTGAATTAGAGTTTTTATTTTCTTCAGATAAATATCTAGAAGTGGAATCGATGAGTCATATGGAAGTTCTATTTTTTAATATTTTGAGGAACTTCTATAATGTTTTTCATAGTGGTTGTATTAATTTACATTCCCAACTATAATGCATGAGGGTTCCCTTTTCTACAAATACTTGCCAAACTTTTTATTTTTTGACTTTTTCATAATAATCACTCTGATAGGTGAGGTGATAACTTATTGTGGTTCTTATTTTATTTTCCTGATGATTAATAATGTTTAGTATCTTTTCATGTCTGTTGGCCATCTATATGTCTTCTTTGAGGAAATTTCTATTCATGTCCTCTGCCCATTTTCTAATCAGATCATCTTTTAATGTTGAGTTGTATGAGTTCCTTAAATATTGTGGATACTAACCCATTATTTGATATATCATTTACACATCTTCTCCCATTCAGTAGGTTATCTTTTCATTTTGTGGATGGTTCCCTTCACTGTGCAGAAGCTTTTTAGTTTAATGTAGTCCCATTTGTTTATTTTTGTTTTTCTTGCTCTTGCCTGAGGTGATATATACAAAAAGATATTGCTAAGACCAATGTTAAAAGTTTGCTACCTATTTTTTCTCCTAGTAGTTTTATAGTTTCACATCTTTCAGTTAAGTAATTCATGCATTTGAATTTATTTTTGTATATGGTGTAATAAGGTGATATTTTGCATATGGTATATAAGAAAGTATATAGTGTGAAGTATATTTTATGTCCATTTTACAGCTGAGGAAAATTGTGTTTAGAGAGTTTAAAAAAATACCACTTCTACAAGAAGTATTTTTCTGCATTAGAAACCCTATTCCAGTATCAGTGGGGGGAAGAAAAGGAATTTTTTTTTCTCTCTCCCTGTTTTTCTAATCCAAACAGTAATGTATTCATTTTACTAATTGGATCTTCAAAATATTTTTTCTTCCTAGGATATCAGAAGAGAGGTGATAAAATTGATACAATTTCTGGGAAGGAAGCCATCAGAGGAACTTGTGGACAAGATTGTTAAACACACTTCATTCCAGGAGATGAAAAACAATCCATCTACCAATTACACAACACTGCCAGATGAAGTCATGAACCAAAAAATATCTCCCTTCATGAGAAAGGGTGAGATGGTCACGTGATTTGCCTCTATTGTAATAGGAAGTCCAAAGTTGAAATAGTTATAAGCAAACACCTATTGAGGCCTATTCATGCCTGTGGACTCAGCTTGTTTTCTTCAGAACTGTTTCACATTTGAGGGCTCTCTTTATTGTATGACCAGTCTTCAGAGACATAAAGCACTACTACTACTACCTACTACTACTACTATTACTACCACTACTAAATTGCTATTACTTGTCGATTACTTAGTATGTGCTGCACGTTATATTAAGAAGGACCACAGTCACTACAGTCTCAGCCCCAGCACCAAGACCACACTTTACTAGCTACCCTTTACTAAGCCTGTACTCTTTGGTGCTGCACCATGTATATTATGTAAACATATAAATTTAATATTCTAATTATGTTTACATTTTTATCAGAGACTCAGGAGAAAGCTTCTAATGTTGTGTCATTTTCAGATGAGGAAACAAGCTTAGAACATCAGTCAGTTTTTCCTTGACCAAGTGGCAGACATTTTCAAGACTAAGTGGCAAATATCCAAACTCATCAAATTGTTATGTACATTTAATATGTACAGTTCTTTATACATTAATTATACCTCCATAAAACTGTTTTTTAAAAAGACTAAGTTTCAAAGCCCTTAGTAGCAAATATGGCTCTGTTTGGCAAAAATATCAAAATACAATGAGGTGACATTCTATTGAGAGGGGGCATGGTCTGATGAGATATATCCACTTTATAAATCCAAAGACATGTGCATGTGCAGAGTAGGGGGCATCTCGTCTTACCGATATGTGGAGAAAAAAAATACTGTTTTTATTTGTTTGTTTATTTAGAAGCAGAATAGAGAAAATCTTACTCTTTGAACTAAATAGTCAGCAAGAAGGCCAGGAAATTTTTTAAATGGGAATAACGAACCTGTCACTGGGTGAAAACAGGGAGCCCCTGAAAAGAGAGTTAGCATGCAGATTATATTTTAAAGATCCATTTCTCAGATTATCTCACTCTCTTTTCCCATTATGTCCCTGTATATTTTTAAAATAGAACACTGGACTTTAATTGTCATGCTTGTGTATGGCTGCTTATTGCTATACTCTCAGACCCTACCAAGAACGCACATTTTCTATCTTTTGCCTTTTGAATTATTTCACTAGGAAAGTGTAGAGCTTCTTGAGCTAAAATGAAAAGTGAACTACTGCCCGGCTGGTGTGGCTCAATGGTTGAGCATCGACCCATGCACCAAGAGGTCGCCAGTTCAATTCCTGGTCAGGGCACATGCCCAGGTTGTGGGCCAAATCCCCATTGGGGGGCATGCAGAAGGTGGCCAATCAATGTTCTCTCTCATCAATGTTTCTCTCTCTCTCTACCTCTCCTTTCCTCTCTTTCTAAAGTCAATAAAGAAAAAAAAAGTGAACTACTGACTGATTTAAATAAAATACAGGGTGAGCCTGGACGGTGTGGTTCAGTGGACTGAGCATCATCCCATTGACTGAGAGGTCCCAGTTTGATTCCTGGTCAGGGCACATGTCCGGGTTGTGGGCTCAATTCCCACTGGGGGGTGTGCAGGAAGCCGTCGGTCGATGTTTCTCTCTCATGTGGATAGTTCTGTCTCTCCCTTTCTCTCTCTAAAAAATCAATAAAAATATATTTAAAAAATAAAATAAAATACAGGGTGACTTCCTTCTGCCAGAGGAGGGCTGGATGTGACGAAAAGCAAAAGAGAAGGGCCTGCTAGACTATTGCCATAACCCAGATGGAAAACGCTGAGGAGCTTTCTGTCAGTGGCAGCGGAAATGGAGAAAAGGAAATGAGTATGAAGAAAATACGAATATAAATAAGGAATTTTAGATGTAGGGTTGACTGGATAACTTCCAAGTTTATGCTTTAGAAAACCGGTGTTGCCATTAATCAGGTTATGGAAAAGAAAACACAATTTAGTGGAGAATAGAATGAATTAATTTTGAACTAGTTAAATTTGATATACTTGTATGGAATACCATATAGGCAGTTGGATATGGAAGTTTAAATCTGGATTTGAGTGGGTATCAGCATGAAAATGATATTTAATATCTTGGGCATGTGTAAAACATGGATCTCACCTTAGGAGGAAGCCCCAACATTTCAGATGAAATTAGAGAAGAAAAGTTCAATGAAGTAGCATCAGAGGAAGTAGTCAGAGAAAGAAATTTGCTGGGTTTTGTTGTTGTTATTTTAACAATCATAAGAAATCCTTATTTGCAAGCACAAATATATACATTATTTATGGTATATATTTTATTATTATAATTGAGGCCTACAGGAATAAAATTTGGGTGTTAATGAAAGTGATGAATATTAGAAAATGTCATGATTCTGGCTTAAAGACATAATACTTGCTTTTTTCTTTTGTTCTAGGGATTACAGGAGACTGGAAGAATCACTTTACAGTAGCTCTGAATGAGAAATTTGATTTACACTATGAGCAGCAAATGAAGGGGTCTACGCTGAAATTACGAACTGAGATCTAAGAAAGGTTTTCCTAACACATCTGAGGTTGAAGCTTTCTTCTAGTCATTTCTCCACTTTTCCTATTTTTGATTGTTGGAGAAGGAGTCATGTGAAAGGTGGTATGGTCAGGTTCACATGGTTATTGAGATCTCAATATAAAAGATGAAGGATTTTTTCCTGATATAATCTTTTTATTTTGCCTTTCTTCTCCTCTTTTTCCTCCTCCTCCTTTTTCTTCTTTTTACAAATATTACACAAAGCTATAATCGATGGGAATAATGTAAGAACACATAAATACTTTAAGTTAGAAGCTCATTAAAAATATGCAAGCATTCCAAATTATTTTCATGCCCCCCCAATTAGTAGTATATTTAATATATACATGAACTTTGAAAATTGTGAAATAAATAAATAAAATAAATAAATAACTTTGGGGGCATAATTTTACCTATTATTTCCTTCCTGATTTTTTTTTTCACTTTCTGCAAAATGACTTAATTTGAATTTGCTTTAATCTAATGAAATTTTGGCTATAACTGAATTGATCAAATGTCCATCAGTACTCCTGAGTGTCATTTATGCTTGAATATCATATATAAAATGTAATAAATTTGCATTCTATAAACCAAAGTTTTAAAAAATGTGGTATTTGCCAATATAACAAAACAAAACAAAAACAGTCCTGGCTGGTTTGGCTCAGTGGTTAGAGTGTCCACCCACAGGCCAAAGGATCTCAGGTTTGATTCTGGTCAAGGGCACGTACCTGGGTTGTAGGTTTGATCTCTGACCCCAGTCAGAGTCGTGTAGGAGGCAACTAATCAATGTGTCTCCCTCCTTCCCTTCCACTCTACCTAAAATCAATGGAAAAATATCCTGGGGTGAGAATTAAAAATAAAAATGAGAAAAGAAATAAAAAAACAGTTGTTATTTGTTATATAAATAATTGTTTTGGCTTATGTCTTCTATTTTTATTCATTCTATTGATGATCTTTTCCCTATACTACATTTTTTAAAATTATTTTTTTATTAATTTGTTTTTGTTACAGATGTTTGTCCTTTTTCCTCAATTGACACCCTCCTCCCCATCCCTCCCACCCCATCCCCAGCTTTGTTGTCTATGTCCATTGGTCATGCATACATGCATATAAGTTCTGTGGTTTATCTCCCCCCCAACACTCCCTCTTCTGAAGTTTGTCAGTCTGTACCTCACCTCTATGTCTCTGGGTCAATTTTGTTCAGCAGTTTGTTTAGTTCATTATATTCCACAAATAAGTGAAATCATGTGATATTTGTCTTTCTCTGCTTGGCTTGTTTTGCTTAGCATAATACTTTCCAGGTCCCTCCATGTCATTGCACAGGATAAGATATCTTCCTTTCTTACAGCTGCATAATATTCCACTCTGTACATGAACCACAGCTTTTTTATCCACTCATCTATTGATGGACACTTGAGCTGTTTCCAGATCTTAGCTATTGTAAACATAGGGGTACATATATTCTTTCTGACTGGTGTTTCAGGCTTCTTAGCATATATTCCTAGAAGTGGGATCACTGGGTCAAATGGCAGTTCAATTTTTAATTTTTTGAGGTAACACCATAGTGTTTTTCATAGTGGCTGCACCAGTCTGCATTCCCACCAGCAGTGTACTAGAGTCCCCTTTTCTCCACACCCTTGCCAACATTTGTGGTTTGATGATTTGTTGATGGTGGAGGTGATACCTTATAGTTGTTTTAATTTGCATCTCTGTGATGATTAGTGACGTTGAACATTTTTTCATGTCTCTTGGCCATTTGTATGTCCTGTTTGGAAAGGTGTCTAGTTAGGTCTTCTGCCCATTTTTTAATTGGGTTCTTTGTCTTCCTTTTGTTGAGTTGTATGAACACTCTATACATTTTGGAAATTAACCCCTTATCTGATGCATCATTAGCAATTATGGTCTCCCATATAGGGGGTTCCCTTTCCATTTGGATGGTTGTTTCTTTTGCTATGCACAAACTTTTTAGTTTGATGTAGTTCCTTGTGTTCATTTTTTTCATTTGTTTCTCTTGCCTTAGATGTTGTATCAGTGAAAATTCTGCTCCATATGATGCCTGAAATTTTGTTGCCTGCATTTTCTTCTAGAATTTTTATGGATTCATGAGTTACATTTAAGTCTTTTGTCCATTTTGAGTTTATTCTCATGTATGGCGTAAGTTGGTGGTCTAGCTTCATTTTTTTTCAAGTAACTGTCCAATTTTTCCAAAACCATTTATTAAAGAGGCTGTCTTTACTCCACCGTATGCTCTGGCCACCTTTGTCAAATATTAATTGAGCATATTGTCTTGAGTCAATTTCTGGGTTCTCTGTTCTGTTCCACTGTTCCATATACCTGTTCTTGTGCCAGTACCAGGCTGTTTTGATTACAGTGGCTTTGTAGTATAATCTGATATCTGGTAATGTGATCCCTCCTACTTTGTTCTTCTTTTTCAAGATTGCTGTGGCTATTCAGGCACTTATTTGGTTCCATATAAACTTTTGGAGTGTTTGTTCTAGTTCTGTGAAATATGTCATTGGTATTTTGATGGGGAGTGCATTGAATTTATAGATTGTTTTGGGTAGTATGGACATTTTAATTATGTTAATTCTTCCAATCCATGAACAAGATATATGCTTCCACTCTTGTATATCTTCCTCTATTTTTTTTTTTTTTTCCAATGACCTGTAGTTTTCTGTGAAGAGGTCCTTTACTTCCTTGGTTACGTTTATTCCTAGGTATCTCAATTTTGTTGCTGCAATGGTAAATGAGATTTTTTAAAAATTTCTCTTTCTGTGAGTTCATCATTGGTATATAAGAATGCCATCAATTTCTTGACATTAATTTTGTATCCTGCTACTTTTCCAAATTCATTTATTAAGTCTAGTAGATTTTTGATAGAGTCTTTAGGGTTTTCTATGTACAATATCATGTCATCTTCAAATAATGACAGTTTCACTTCCTCCTTTCCAATTTGGTTCCCCTTGATTTATTTTTTTTATGACTAATTGCTGTGGCTAAGACTTCCAGTATTATGTTAAATAAGAGTACCGAAAGTGGGCATCCCTGTCTTGTTCCCATTCTTAAGGGGAATGCTTTTAGTTTTTGTCCATTGAGTATGATGTTGGCTGTAGGTTTTTCATATATGGCCTTTGTTATGTTGAAATATGATCCCTCTATTCCCACATTGCTGAGCATTTTTATCAGAAATGGGTGCTGGATTGTGTTGAATACTTTTTCAGCATCTATTGATATAATCATATGCTTTTTATCTTTCATTTTGTTTATGTGGTGTATCACATTTATTAATTTACAAATATTGTACCATCATTGCATTCCTGGGATGAATCCCACTTGGTCATGATGAATAATTTTTTTTTGATGTATTGCTGGATTCAATTTGCTAATGTCTTGTGAAGGATTTTGGCATCTGTATTCATCAGGGATATTGACATTTAGTTTTCTTTCTTTGTAGTGTCTTTATCCAGTTTTGGAATTAGAATTATGCTGGCCTCATAAAATTAGTTTGGAAGTGTTCTGTCTTCTTGGATTTTTTGGAATAGTTTTAGGAGACTGGGTATTAGATCTTCTTTGAATGTTCAGTAAAACTCCCCCGTGATGCTGTCCGGGCCTGGGCTTTTTTTTTTTTTGCTGGTAGTTTCTCAATTAAATCTTCAATTTCCTTTGTTGTTATTGGTCTGTTCAAGTTTTCTGTCTGTTCCTGGTCCAGTTTTGGGAGGCTGTGTGTTTCTAGAAATTTGTCCATTTCTCCTAGATTGTCCAATTTGTTGGTGTATAATTGTTCATAGTATGTTTCAAAGATCCTTTGTATTTCTGTGGTGTCAGTTGTTACTTCTCCTCATTCGTTTCTGATTTTGTTCATTTGGTTTCTCTCTTTTTGTTTGTTGGTGAGTCTGGCTAAAGGTTCATCAATCTTTTTTATCTTTTCAAAGAACCAGCTTTTTGTTTCATTGTTCTTTTGAATTGTGTTTTTAGTCCCTATGTTGTTTATTTCTGCTCTGACCTTTACTATTTTCTTCCTCCCGCTAGCTCTGGGTTTTTCTTTTTGTTTAGTTTCTAGTTCTTTAAGTTGTAGGGTTAGAAAGTCAATTAGAAATTTCTCTTGTTACTTGAGGTAAGCCTGTAGTACTATAAACTTCCCTCTCAGGACTGCTTTCACTGTGTTCCATAGATTTTGTGTTGTTGTGTGTTTGTTTTCATTGGTTTCCAGGAAGTTTTTAATTTCTTCCTTGATCTCATTAGTAATTCATTTGTTGTTTAATAACATGCTATTTAGCCTTCAAGTGTTTGAATGTTTTTGTGTGTTTTTATTGTAATTGAGTTCTAGTTTCATGCCACTGTGATCTGAGAAGATGCTTGATACGATTTCAATCTTCTTGAATTTGTAGAGAGTTGCTTTGTGTCCTAACATGTGGTCTATCTTTGAGAATGACCCATGTGCACTTGAGAAGAATGTATATTCTGCAGTTTTGGGATGAAATGTTCTGTAAATATCAGTGAAGTCCAAGTGATCTAGTTCGTCTTGTAAGGACTCTATGTCCTTGTTAATTTTTTGTCTAGAAGATCTATCCAGTGGTGTCCGTGGTGTGTTAAAGTCACCCACTATGATCATGTAGCTACTGATTTCTCCCTTAAAGTCTTCCAGAAGTTTTTAAATATATTTTGATGCTCCTGTATTTGGTGTGTATATGTTTACCAAGGTTATATCCTTTTGTTGGATTGATCCTTTTAATATTATGTACTGACCTTCCCTGTCTCTAATTATGGTCCTTGTTTTGAAGTCTATCTTGTCAGATAAGATTATTGCTACACCAGCTTTTTTTTTGTTTCCATTTGCTTGGAAAGTTTTTTTCCATCCCTTTACTTTTATTCTGTATGAGTCTTTTGTTTTGAGGTGAGTATCTTGTACACAGCATATATATAGGTCGTGTTTTCTTATTTAATCAGCTACCCTATGTTTTTTGATTGGAGCATTTAAGCCATTTATATTTAAGGTAATTATTGATAGGTAGTTATTAGTTGCTATTTTAATT